GGGGCTGTCGACGAATGGTTGGACGGCAACGGAACACGGATACGAGGCGTGGATCGGAGAACTGTGACGCTGCTCTTGTGATGGGCTCGATTCTTCAGTTCCCGATTCATGCCCTGCCTCTGCTCAATCAGATTCCCCAACGACAATATCAAAAGTGGAGTTGAGTTCTTCACATGAAAGAGCACATGTCTGACAGAGCTTGTCGGGAATCGGCTGATGGATGCTTGCAATCAGTTCAGAAGTCATGGCCGAAAACCCATGGGCATTCGTCGAGGGTTAAGCTGGAAGTAGAAGCCCTTTCCGAAGACCGCACCGCAAAAAAGGGCGAGGGAGAAGGGGAAAGGTCCAGAGCTCCGGATGCCGCTGCTCAGTGCTCAATGCTGTTGGGTAACGACAGCTTGGATTGTGGGCTGAGGTCCACGGGGACGAATACATGGATTACGTAGCCGCTTGGCGGCAGCTGGCCATCCCTGCTGCTGCTCACTCCCCCAAAAGTTGCGGCCATGTTCCACTGAAGCACCAGGACAGCAAATGGCAGAGGTCCAAAAAGGACACTGAATTCTTTGCAGACACTGGAATCGACACGTGAACATCCAGTAGGCTGTCTTCATTCCATCCCCCACAAGGGAAGGAGCCAGGGTAACCAAGCAGTGTAACCCCCAGCAGTCTGGATAGCACCCACTGGTGCTGCTGCTGGCCGCCTCCTGCTGCTGCACCTGCAAGAGAGAGAGCGAGATAGAGAGCACAAAGTACCGTCCCAGCAAATGTGTGCGTGACGGTACCACTGGCCACCACAGGCGGCCCAGCCCGACCCAGCAGACTCGCAGTCTGTTGAGAGCTGCTCCATCGCTCATCCCTCCACTCGCCTCGCACCCTCGCGCACCTCACACTCCTTGTCACTTGCACCTGGAATCCGCTTCCCTCCCGCGGCTTCCAGTCCACAGTCCACAGTCCACAATCTCCAGTGAACAGTCCACAGAACCTCTGTCGAAACAGATCGGTTGTCGTTGACGCCTCCAATCAGAAAAAAGTTCCCGGCCATCTCAACCATTAACCACCCCCCTGCCCGTCTCGACTGGACTCTGCGAACTCCCGACAGCCCGACCGACACCTTTCATACCGTACCTACACTCCCTTTTCACTCACTCTACCTACCTGCTTCTCCAACTTCTCCAGTATCTCCCCCCTCCTACGGCCATTTGGTCCAAAGGCAGTCCAAGTCCAGCCAGCACAACACACCAGCAACCAAGTCGACAGCTTTGCGCTGACGGCCACATCGCGCTTTAGCGTTTGTTAGCACCAGACGGACGAACCTTTTTTCGCCGGCGCCACCACTTTCGCGCTTCTTCTTCTCCCGTGTCGACTTTCCATGGCGAGCTGATTTGCTGTTACTCCTTGGATTTTGGGGGGAACACCACCTGGCCAGCCCGAGGCTTGGAACTCTTCAACACGACCGACGATACACTCGATCCTCGAGACCCGCAGCATCACTTCGAACAAAACCACTTCGACGCATATAATTAGACCAACACGCACACATCCACTCGTTACCTCGATCGCCGCGCACTTCACCTTGCTGCAAATCCGCCACCTGGTCTGACGCGACAGCTCGCCCATCGCATCTCCCGTCGCGCGGAACGTCTGGAACATTCCTGACCACCAGTACCCCTATCTCCTGATTCTCGAACCCGCTCGCCCTTTCCGATCTCCCATCGCATCCGCCGTCGACCCCCATGCCTCATGGATTGCATATCCTCTCAAAGATGAACTCCCTGAACATAATCACCTCGCGCGTATCCCCGCCGCCGAGTCCAGTCGCTTCGCGATCCAACTCCCTGGGTTCGCTGGGTCTGACGGTTCAATCCGACGACAACCAGCATGACGGCGAGAGCGCAGAGAACCAGGGTGACAGCCACGAAGGGGAAACCTTTCCGCTAGAGAAGACCGCATTTGAGAAGAACAACGATGTTCATGGCATGGATCTAGCCAGCGAAGCCACGCCGCTAATAGGGGAATCGAAAGATTCTGGTCTTAGGTCGACTTCATGGCACTCCTTGCCTCGGCGCATGGCTGTCAGCTTCATTAATTCCATCCGCTGGGTTTTGTCAACTTTTGCCGCCCCTGGAGTATATCTCATCGCCTGCCTTTACGACGACACGGGCGCATTTTCGCCCTTTTATCAGCTGAAGAAGCTGTTCGGTTTCGGCGGTAGCAGCAAGAAGCTTGGGAATGATTTCGCCGCATCGAGCGCCATGAACGAGAAATCGGGAAGGCAAGGGAGCGCCGGATACGGAGGTGTTGCGTATTCCAGGCCAGTCGGGTCGTCAGGGTCATCATCTTCAGGTCTATCATCAGAATCCGAATCAGACGCCGATCGCAGACGGCGTGGATCCACCAGTCGACACTCTCGGTCCAAGTCTTCAGCAGAGGAAATCGCGCCGGCAAGGAGGTCCATTCGCATTAAGTTGCACAGCGACGATGCACTGCCGACGCGCAAGCATAGGAAGACGCAGTCTGCTGCTGCACGTCCTAAGGAATCCGGCGGCTCCGACATTTCCGCCCAGCTCAAGTCTCCAACATCTCCCGCCGGCGCACTGACTAGATATCCCAAGACGCCGGCTCCTCCCCGACCCTTGATTCCCCGCCGCCAGCCGTCATATCTGAACATCGAACCGACCGATCCCAAATACCAAAAGACCCTTATCTTGGACCTCGACGAAACTCTGATCCACAGCATGTCTAAGGGCGGCCGCATGAGTACTGGACACATGGTTGAGGTCAGACTCAATCAGACGTATGTGGGCGCCGGAGGTCAGACGTCCATTGGACCGCAGCATCCAATCCTGTACTGGGTTAACAAGCGTCCGCACTGCGATGATTTCCTTAGAAGGGTAAGTCGATTGACGTTGTTAAGGTCAGGGAGTAAGCGTTGACAGCTGCCTAGGTCTGCAAATGGTATAATCTCGTGGTGTTCACGGCTAGTGTCCAAGAATACGCAGACCCCGTTATCGATTGGTTGGAAGCAGAGCGAAAGTTCTTCTCGGCGCGTTACTACAGACAACACTGCACCTTTAGACAGGGCGCATTTATTAAAGATCTCAGCTCAGTCGAGCCTGATCTCAGCAAGGTCATGATTCTGGACAACAGCCCGTTGAGTTATATGTTTCATCAAGGTATGCGACCAGAAAATGGGAACCATTCCGCGATCTCATCTAACCCGTACAACAGACAATGCGATCCCAATTCAAGGATGGATCAATGATCCGACAGACAATGATTTGCTCCACCTGGTGCCACTACTAGAAGGGTTGCAGTACGTGTCGGACGTGCGGGCGTTGCTTGCCTTAAGAGGAGGGGAAGACGGTCAGCACATGGCGTAAGGATTTGGGAATTGTAGAGGATTATCGGTGTACAGGCATGGGAATAGCGAAGCGGCCACCGGCGGATTCAACTACGCGGTGTAACGCTGTTTTAATAAAAGAAATTCGATGAACAGACGGAGACCGCAGTTTGGGCGATGCGTGGTGACTATTTCGAACTGCAGCAGCTATGTCAGACCACGGAAGATACACCGGTAATGTGAGCAACGCGGTAGAGGAGCAGAAGAAAGTGGCATTTTCGTGGCTTTTGACAATTCCAACTTCTCGATGCAGGGGCTATCAACGCGCTCAAGGGCGCATATTCCTTGTCCCGTTCCTGGGCTAGAGTCGGCCGGGTACTACCGTCAGTTACCTCGGGCCTTGAAAAGGCAGAGCAACGGCATCAATGATACAATAGATACGTAGTTTAACGGAAGGAATCGCAGTACTCTCTACGTAGAATAGCCTAGAGCTTCACTGCAGGGGTTCGCAAAGCTCGTGGGTCCCGTTCATCGGAAACAGCATCATGGCTCGATTTGCGATTTGGACTTGCACCGCCTTGGTTCAGGACAAGGGGTGTTTTCAAGCCACCGAACCCCCAATCTCGATCAGATTACGGGATTTCCGTACTCCAGCTGCTGTTTCCCCGCAGTCCTTCAACGGTGGCCTGTTTGACAGGCGCTGAATTGCAGGGCCAGGGAAGGCAGAAGGCGGAGGGTAAAGGAGGACAAGCTCCGAAAGAGAGGATTGCCATTGAGAGGTGATGTGCTTCCAGGTGACATGGAGGTTAGATGCGGGTAGTTGGCCGGGGGTATGCGGGTTCAGCGGAGGGAGGAAAGGGCCCATTGGCAGGTCTCGGCCAATGGAGGGAGCACGGAGTGGGTCGTGTGTGGGTTTGGCGGGGGAGCCAGGGTGGTGACATCATGGCACAGGTGACGACACCACGGCCTCAGGTGCTTCGCTGGGCCAACAGTTCCCAATTGCGGCGGGCTGGGGGCGGAAAGCTGCTGTGCCAGCTATGGAAGAGGCGATGGGTGAGTGGGAAAAGAGATTTGGCCTGGTCTGGACTGGTAGTCGGGACACATCATGCAGCAGCAGGGCAGGGAAAACAAGCAGGCGGTAGGAGGAGCTGTGGCACGTCTTTCGTCACGTCTTATTCCGTTTGGAAGAGAAGCGCCCCCCACCCCCTGCTTGTACCTTTCGCCCAGCTATGCTTTTAGTGCGCATAGCTCCTGTTCGTCCTTGGCTGAGGTATTCTTACACTTCGTCGATGAGGGAATGAGACTTCGATCTCCTCGACCGGGCCCTCGTCGCCTAGGCAGTTCTTGTACCTTGGTTACCCCATTACCTCAGCAGCTAGCTCTGTTTCGCCCTCGGGGGGGCGGGATGGTGGTTGAGCTTGGCCTTGGCTTTGAGGTTTCTGGTACTTTCCCACTTGCGTGCAGGAGCTGAGGTCACAGCTAGCTCACACACACGTTGCGGTGCCTTGCACCACCTGCCTTCCACCCACCACCCCTTTGGCACATAAAAGCCAGTCCTGTCCCGCCTCTCTGGTCACAAGTTTCTATTTACATCACTCTCCCAGTCCAATCGAACTTGAGTTTTCCAGCTTCATCAAAAGATACCCAAAACACCGCCATCATGTCTTTGCACTGTAAGTGTTGCCTCCCTGGATTGGAAAGAGAGGGCAAGCTTGTGCCTCAACGTCGAAAGGGACCGATATGTCGTCATCATGGTTCAAGGCAACATGGCGGAAACGAATAGATTTAATAGAGTGCTAATATCAACTGCTCAACAGACCTTCCCCCCGTCAAGCCTTCGGCCATCGCCCTCGGCACCATCTTCAACCACACCACTGAGCTCGCCGGTACGTGATACCTACCCCCTGCCCTCCTAACCACACCACTTCGATCGCATCAGCTGACCAGAGTTCGTCTTCCCAACAGTCTTGACCCCTCTCTTCGGCCAGACCTACCAGCGCGCCAAGGCCGCCAACAGCAAGGAAGAGTTCCTCCGCTCCAAGGAGGCCAGCTCGGCCGCTGTCGCCTGGGGCACCTCCCTCGTCGGCTCCGCCCTCCAGTCCTACGGAGTCGGCGCCCTGATCAACGCCACCGGCACGCTCTCCTACAAGGGCGCCGCCTACCTCGGCAGTCTGATCTTCTTCGCTACCTCTGCTCCCGGCGTAAGTCTTGTCTCTCGCGTCTTTCCCTTGATCGACCAATAACTGACGCACGCTTGCGCGCAGTACATCTCCCAGGTCTTCGCCGAGAAGCGCCCTCTCGACACCGTCGGTGTCAGCGCCCTCGCCAAGGTCATCGAGACCGTCGGTCTCTCCGTCTTCCTCACCTGGTGGGGAACCCGCACCAACCCCTTCGACTAAAGGGTTGCGTCTCTTTAATGTAATGAAATGAAATGGAGAGTCTAGAGCAGACTCTCGTGTGCTATTAGCCTCTTGGGTCAGATGGATTACGGTCATGGAGTTTGAAGAGAAGTCGATAGCTACGACTGGGAATCACAGCGCCATGTACCTACACTTTGTGCTCAAGCCATGATTCCCCTAATCAAAAAAGGTTCAAAACACTTGCCGTTAGCTACTTGGGAGTGATGTGGATGTGCAACATAATGTCGTCAAAACAGGCAAGCAGGAGATTTGTAGCAAGAAGCGCCACTCTCGGATACACTAGTGACCTTGATGGACGTATAGCGTCACCGCATATCACAATACTGTCTCCGGGTTGCGAGGTTCCGCTGGAGTATTGCTCTTGGGACATAGGTCACCCCTGGTCGAGCACAGTTCGCGACGAACGACGCCTTCACGGCATCACGGGGAACAGCGCTCTCACTCTGAGAAGCACAGCAAGGGTTTCCTCCACACCTTCGCACCCTGACGGTTCCAACGAAGGCTTTGATGATTTGAAAATCATTTATTGGTGAGTAATCAACTATACTCATGCAGATAATCCGTTAGAACGCCGAGCATCTTTTGCTTTTGTGCCATCCAGGAGAAAATTCAAGTTCCCATATGTCCGCGCCGCAAGGTTCAGGTGATGGTGGTACAACCCGCATAAAGCCGTTTTGCAATCGTGAACCCCGAACACACACCCACACACTCGAAGGGACGTCTCTCGTACCTAATTTTTATAAAACAACTTCTCTCGTCCATGCAGGGTATCATGCGCATTATGCAAACACACACACAGACTGCATGTCCCTTCAAAATCCGACCACAAGCCCTGGTATCAGTAGCTTAAGACCAGAAAGACTGCTTGGCCGTCTCCTTCTGCACGAGCTTGACCAGGGCAGAGTAGACCTCCGAGTAGTCCTCGCCGTCGTCCTCCTCGGCATCGTCGCCGGCGGACTTCTTCTCGGCCTTCTTGGCGTCGGCGGCGGAGCGCTTCTCGGTGACCATGACGACGGAGGTCGGGCGCTTCGTCTTGGCGGCGGCGCCGAGCTCGGCGCGCGAGGTGACGAAGATGTAGGGCACGTTGTGGTCCTCGCAGAGCACGGGGATGTGGGAGATGACGTCCATGGGGGAGATGTCGCCGGCGATGATGACGACGCCCGGGAAAGCGGTGTTGCTGGGTCCGGAGGCGGGGGACTTGCGGAGGGTCTTGACGACCTCCTTGACGCCGCGCTTGAGGGTGTTGTTCTTGGCGGCTGGAATGGAATGTTAGTATGTCGGGACGTTCGTGTGGCCCAATTGACCTCGAAGCGCGACGCGGTGGGGGAGAAAACGTACCCTTGCGGATGGACTTCATGACCTTCTTCATGTTCTTCTCGTCGGCCAATGGCACGGCGAAGGGCACGAGGGCGCCGACGACGGGGAGGCCGTCGGCGGTCTTGGAGGAGACATCGCCGGAGGCGACGGCGGTGGCGGCAACGTCGGCCTGGAGGTGCTCATCGAGGGCGCGCTCGAGCTTCTCCTTCTTGTCCTTCTTGTCCTTCTTATCCTTCTTGTCCTTCTTGACGCCTCCGTCGGACACGGATCGCTTCTTGTCCTTCTTCTCCTTCTTCTCGGGCTTCTCGGCGGCCATTGTGACGGTTTGTGGTGGAGGATTGAAGGGTTGAAGGGAGAGGGAGAGGTTGTGGGTTGGCGGCGTGTTGGGTGAAGCTTCGCTGGGACGAGACTCGACTTTTTTTTCCTCGTTGCAACTCAATGGATTGCTGAACTTTTTTTCAGTGGGGCACCCAGAGTTGGCGGCATATAGTGGCTCCGTGCCGAGGCCTGGGCTGCGGCAGGCTTCGGTGAGAGGACTGGAGCACGTGACCCAGGGCGGCCAATCAGCGGCTGTGCATTCCGCAAATGTCAGCGCAAGAGTGACTGGCGAACAGTTGAAGGTAGTTCTTGAGCATCAACTGGTAAGGTTGCGCGTAGAGGTGTGTATGATAATTTTAGTCTTGTGAATTACCGCAATTTTAACCATATTGGCACTTCGTCGGTGTTCGTACACTTGGATTTGGGGATCGGACCTTGACCTACAAACATTCAAACACATCAACTTGCTACGTGCACATGTCAAGTCAATAATCAATATCGTACTCGGTATCAGTTAAGAAATGCATTGGATGTAAATCGTCAAAAATTGGGGTTCTATTCCATATCTCCCCCTCTACGTAGTTGATATACACGTGTTTGACACAGGGAATCGTTGGTCCACCTCTAGCTTTCGTCGTCCGCCGTCATCGAGGAATCTCGTTTACTCCTCAGAGTCACCGAACTCAGCGCGGCCCTGCTTGGAGTTCAGGTAGTGGTTGCTGTGGCGAGTGTTAGTCGGAACCCGCTCCTTCGATACCTCCGAATCCTCATCGGGGAGGCTGCAGGGTGACCTACCGGTGGGTGGCCCAGTCCATGATGTACCAGCCGGCAACGAGGGGAGGCAGGAAGTAAAGGACCTGGGCGCTGAAGCGGCGCCAGGTGTTGAAGACGGCATCGTGGGCGGCACCGGCGAAGGGGTTCTGGCGGTTGGGGGCAATGCCGTAGGTGATGATGCCTCTCTGCTTCTCGCCACCTGCACATTGTCAGTTTCGTGCTCCTCCCAGATTATCGCTTCCGTCGCGCATCGTGTGTTCGGCGATCTTCATCGTCCTCCTCTTCCCCATCATCGTCCACTTGGACTCCCATGTCCCGTCATTCGTGCATCGCTCGACCATGTCGCTATCGTCCTTTGACATCGCAGAATTCGGGAACAAACGTACCAATGTGACCCCACCAGCCGAGGTGGCTAAGAACCAAGTTAGCGAGCTGCATCAACAATGTAATTGAGGGCGTTGCGCGTCGGAGCGGACAGAGGGAAGCATCTGGCTTCCACCTCGGAAAAGCCCGCAAGACGCTGCTAACTCAATTGACATGAAATTTGGGCGTCAACTTACTGGCTGTACTTTCCGTGGGGGATGCTAGGTCCCGAGGCAAGAGCTTGGGTAGGTCTCATCTTGGCGGATGGTTGTGGTGGACGGTGATGTGCAACCGGATGTTGGGGGTCGTTCAGTCAAGCTGGAAATCGCAGGGTCAAATCAGACGAGGTTCAAATCTTGTCCCCTTCCTGCCGAACCCGAACGCTGAGGCGCACACCCTAAAGAGGCTTAGCGCCTTTTGCGACTTTCTTTCCGTCACCAGTTGGTCGAGCCAGTGCATCTACCCACCCCGATGACCCCGGTCGGCTTTAACAGCCGCCCGCCCAAAATTCAATGACGGACCTTACCGCGGCGGCCTGAGGAGCTTTTGACAGCTTCAATCCCACCTGCTCTTGCACCGCAGCCCACCAACAACCACCCTTTAACGCCAACCGGATAGCCCGCGAATTTCGCAAGAGAAATCTCGCGACCCTCGATACCCCGTCTCTTCAGCTTCCGAACCACCAGAGAAACTCACCATGGCTCAGGCTCTGGGTTTTGCGTACCGCATGGCGGTCCCCGCGGCCATCGGCGTCGCTGTGCTGCAGTCTTCAATCTACGACGTCAAGGGCGGAAGCAGAGCCGTCATCTTCGACAGACTAGCAGGTGTCAAGGAGGGGGTCATCAGCGAGGGTACACATTTCCTTGTGCCGTGGCTGCAGAGGAGCATCGTCTTCGACGTGAGGACGAAGCCCAGGAACATCGCCACGACAACAGGCAGCAAGGATCTCCAGATGGTCAGCTTGACCCTGCGTGTTCTGCATCGTCCTGAAGTCCAGAACCTCCCCAAGATCTACCAGGTAGGTTCTCGTCTTTCTGCCGCGTCTAGGAGAAACCAGTATCTGACCACTCGCGCAGAACCTCGGCCAAGACTACGACGAGAGGGTCCTCCCCTCCATCGGCAACGAAGTCCTCAAGTCCATCGTCGCCCAGTTCGACGCCGCAGAGCTCATCACCCAGCGTGAGGCCGTCTCCAACCGCATCCGCTCCGACCTGACCAAGCGTGCCGCCGAGTTCAACATCGCCCTCGAGGACGTCTCCATCACCCACATGACCTTCGGCAAGGAGTTCACCAAGGCTGTCGAGCAGAAGCAGATTGCCCAGCAGGACGCCGAGCGTGCGCGCTTCATCGTCGAGAAGGCCGAGCAGGAGCGCCAGGCCAACGTCATCCGTGCAGAGGGTGAGGCCGAGAGTGCCGACACCATCTCCAAGGCCATCTCCAAGTCAGGCGACGGTCTCATCCAGATCAGAAAGATTGAGGCCAGCAGAGAGATTGCTTCTACTTTATCCGGTAACCCCAACGTTGCGTACTTGCCCAGCAGCGGAAAGGGTAGCCAGATGCTGTTGAACGTGGGACGTCCGTAAAGGGTTATGAGATGAGGATGAAAAGGGAAAATGGCGATGCTGTACTATAGACTTTGAAGGCAAGTCACCGCTTCAATAAGTGTAATCATAGGGCATGAAACTTGCCTCCTGTTCAACTATGCAACTCAGCCTAAGATGTCAACGTGCATGTGAGAGATATTTGCGATAACGCCTTGTTTGACAAGAGTGATGGATGATCACATGGTGTTTTACAAGTGACCATAAGGTTAAGCTCATTATCTGGGTTGGTTCGTTTCTCTGGCTAATGCACCTTGGCCCCCGGAAACCACAGAAGACAAGCTAGAATACTGCCCGGAGTCATGCGTAAACAGGGTGACGAGCTCCTGCAAGTCCCTCGCATGTACTCCTTTCAGCGTGAAGCCATGTTTCAGGGAAAATGTCGCCCAATTCGGGTCCAGCTTTGGAGACTCGGGCTGAGGGACATCGCATTTGTTCTTCAAGCCTTACCCCTGCATCAGCTTTGGTAGTGTACACCCAGACGACGCCGACTATGTCGCCTTTACTAAGCTTAGAGTATTGCGAAGTAGGTCGGCGTATATGTTTAGAGCTTTATAAAGAAATCTGAGCAAGAAGCAGACTAGCACAATCCGGGAAAAGGTTGCGCGAGGTCCACTGCGAGCTGCGAAGAAAGCTTCAGCGTTTCTCATACCTTTGGCGCAGAAGATATCTTTCAACTGTAGTGTTCCGTTTCATGTTTGGGATGATAATGATCTCTGTCTATCGCTTCTATCTAGTCGTTGTTCTAGATGTTTACAATCGCCAGACGGGTACCACGTTGAGAGTATTGAGGCACCCAGCCATCGGTGAATGACAGCAGATGGGTGAACTGACGTTACGCAAGTGCTCAAGAACAAGAAGGCGTGGTTCGCTTGATTGGGCCTTAATGCTTCTTGAATTACTGTTTTTAACCTGCGGGCACACAAAAGAAGACTAGCAAATGGGCTTTTGGCCGCACTTGGTATACAAAGACTGCTATCGGCCATCTACTTACATTTCAACAAGATGGGCTGGCACCGTAAATGTTCCGAAAGATGCATCTCTCATGGAACATTGATACGACCCCCTGGCGTCAAGGCGAACGCCGCAATCAATAATCCTAAATGCTGTACATTAATGCCTTCGTTATTTGTCGTCTTCAACCCCTGATAATCGGTGCAATTTTCTTGTGTATTCTTTTGCTGTTTGATCCGCGAGGCAACTCGTTAGTTGGTTCCCAAAAACGCAGCGGGTATGAGAGCAGGATAAATCGACTATGGTACTTCCCAGTAGGTGAATGCGCGGCTGGAACCACGAACATTGGTCGTGAAAGCTTTCTCGGGTTACGCTCTGCTAGAGTTTATAAGTGCCGAGTCCTGAAGCTGCAATCAAGTTCATCCTTAACGTTGGTATTCGCCATGAGTAAGTCCACGTATTCCTTTCAATGCCTGCTGAGTCTGCTTCAACCTAGCGGGGAGATACGCACAGATACTTGAACCAGGAATGATGTGGCTAGGCGTATGGCTAGAACGTATATAAGAGTCTCTCTGTCCCCTAGAGATACAGCTGGAGGAGCCAACGACGCAATAAGACAGGAAAAGAGAATTGGTTCTGCAAGGCCGAAGGAATCAACATAGTGCGGGGGAACTTAAGTTAAGGGCAATGTCCGAAAAATATGTGATCTTTGTTTTCTCAATCAGACTTTTCGGTTGCTCACTATCCGTCCATGTCTCCCCTCGTCGTTGCGTATGTATTGTGCGCGAAGTATACTGATCATTATGGTGTCGGCTGGTCAGACAGTCAGCCATCGCACCTCCTATTTAGCGTCTCTCGAGTATCAGTTGTTCAACCTCACCAAGGAAAAGTTTGACGACCAGTTCCATTGTGCGGGAAAGTTGAGCTCTTCAACTGATCGTGTCACCCTTTATATGTAGATAGGATTGCCAGTAAGAACCACAGCCAGACACTCGTCCAGCAAAACGAACAGCAATGGTTCATTTCACAGAACTCAAATATGCCCAATTCCTAGGCCGCTAGGTGGTCGCCAAGGTCAACTTAGGTGTCTTTCAAGAACTGTGGTGTCCCTTGCCGTTGAACCGGGCGACACCGTCCGAGGATGCCTTCTATAAATAAATATACCTTCAAATGCGGTGAAAGTCTCTTGCCACAACCACAATGTGAAAGTTGCTCTATTTTTTTCCAGAGATAATGAGCAAGGCCTCTGTCCTAAAGAATATCTAAGACTTTTGAGCCTCCGGCAGTGTAGATAGAAAACCGTCCTGCTGGGGATGACTGGATAAGAATAACCACTCTTGCATGGCGAATCACATGGTCCTAGTCAAGGACGACATTATCGTTACCTACGAAATGCTTCGCTTGATCCTTGGAAGGATGGACATTGTCACTGAGTAGTGGTCGGCTCATAACACGCGGCCGCTTGCAAGCATACTCCCCGAAAAAGTAAGCCGATTGTGGTTTGGCCGTATTTATAGCAGAGCTTTGCTTGCAGAGCCACGTCCATTCACTGAAGAATTGGATAGCCACCGACTGCAATGAGATCTCTGAGTGTGAAGCCATCCGATGCCCACGGCGAAGTGACGGGGGGCAGTATAAATTGTCTTTTGGCGGGCGAAACTAATGAAATCAGCAATGTGACTCCAGCTTCGTTGTGGCATTTCCTGAGCCGTCTAGTTCAAACATTGAAAGGCCTGGTTGAGTTGCGGGACGAGGACAAGAGACACGCGCATCCCTCTTTGCATCAGAGTATATAGTCTTCGAGAATACTCTGACGAGAATGGAGAACAGTGATGAATTGGAATCTTTCTGGGTGAGATGGAGTTATTAGATGAAGATCTGATGAGACGGAGGTGTGACTGAGAAGTGAGAGGGCACCAGAAGACCAAAGAACAAGCCTTATTCGCGTGGCTGATTCTGAGATAAGCAACTAACATGCCGAGCCCGGGTTATATTTACATACCGGCCACATCTGCTTCTGGGTCGTACTCAGTATGACATCCAGGGAGGCCAATGCTAGGGGAATGTGTATCGACTGTTTTTTCATTACTAGGAGTTGAGTGAGTATATAACAGACTCAGGTATGTGAGATTGCGTCCTCCCCACACCCAATAAAATAGCCACAACTTGTTTCAAGGCTTGTGGCAAAGGTATAAGGAACTCTTTTCTCCCAGAGTTATCGCAACCGAGAGAAGTTGTAGAAACCTGGTTTCAGACAGTCTACGCCAAGCCTTGAGCGTCTTCCCTCATCTCCTCTATTGTATTCGATGGCTTAGCTACATAATACTCAGGCAGAGTAGCAGAAAAGTGCCGATGATGAGGGGAAGGAGATGGCACATCAGAGACAACAGACACCTGGTGGACAACTTTCCAGACTCATCAACCCAACATGGGTCGTGGCACTCGTCTAGGCGATGAACCACAGTCATCAACGCCTCAATGTGTGCGGGCAACAGGCCATATACAGCGCAGAAGTAGCACAATTTATAACAAAGAGCAGAGGCTTGCCAAGCATGAGGGTCATACCAGGCTAGGAAGGAGGAGGGGTTACTGCTCCTGCTTCTTTCTATTGATGGATGCCAGCCTTGCAAGTCTCGTTCCTCATCTGAGCAGCACAATATTAATATAAATACATAGTTTGAAGTTCTTATACTGGGAGGTC